TAGCATCCCCCTGGCTTCAACAACACTGGGTTAAGGTCAGTGTTAAAGGTTAAGGAGAATTTAGCAACAAATAAAACCAATTTCTCTCAGTGTCTTTTGCTTTTAGCCTTTATGTTTTTAGTGTCCATCTCCTTTTCTCCCTCTTTTTCAGAATATGAGGATTTTTCAACCACATGTAAGAGATTCTGTGATTGACACACCAATGACCAGTCAGAGATGACCTGTCTCCTGAAATGATGTTCTGCCCAATATACAGGAACACACATCCATGTAATTCAAACTGATCCCTTGGTCAGAACAGCTGCAGAGGGGAACAGCAACAACATTCACAGTGTACCCGTATTGATAAGTAAGGAGTGAATGGCAATAGACTTAAACTGATCTAAGACCATCTCGCTGCCGTCTATAACCTTAGGTGACACATAGTAAAGAAGCCACGTGAGATCGTTATATCAGGTGCAGTGCAACAATGAATAAGCAAAGTGCCACTATAGCATTGCTTCACTTTGTCATACATGCTGTGCCTCATGCAGTAAACGTCCTCTCGAGAATCTCAAATTTGTGTGCGTTTGTGTGTGCATGCATACTATGCATGCATGTGAATGTGCCTGTGTGTGTGCATTCACCAGACTGGGAAGTGGCAGGCTGCTGACCCACTTTGAGTTGTTTTCATTTTTTATTCACTCCCCATGAGCAGCCACAAGGCTCTTGCTTTCTCTCCACTTATCTCTCATTTTTTCCCTCTTCCCGTTCTCCTCCCAGTATTTACCTGCTAATAATTGTGACATGAATCATTTCCGACAGGGAGGAGCTCAGCTTTGAGAACAAACTCCCGCTACAAGAACCAGTGAGAGGAAGAGACACTTCATTTTGATTCGCAAAGCTCAAGCAACTGATGGGTTACAAGCGCTCACTGTGTCTCCTGTTTACCTTTTGAGTGATTTTCATGGAAAACATTAGCTTCTGAAGTGGGAAGGGAACATGAGATAATGTATGCAGGGAAAAGACAGTAACTTTGTTTTGTTTTTTCAAATGAAGACTGTGATACAAAGATAGAGGTACAGTGCAGTCAAATGAGTTCTCTTTCATGCAGGCATTGGGCTGCAGATTCCAGATAAAGCCCTGAACATGTGTGTGTACAAATGGAAAACGTGTCATGCAATAATGTAGGGCTTAGTGATTTGGAAATGTACATATCACAATATTTTTAGGTAAAGAACCTTAAATGTAACGGGTCAGGTTGTATTGTTTCAGTTTATCGGTGGTAATTCTGAAAGAAATGTAACTATAGTAATTGCTTCAAACTTTTTTATTTTTAAAATCAAGGCAATACAAACATACATACAACATAAGTCTTACATGGAGATTATTTGTTCCTTAATATTTACATCCAACTGTCAAGTGTAACTGTTGCATAACTCATAGACTGTCAGAAGTGGATGCAGTCACCATGATGTCACCCATTGGTTTGTGGACTAAAGTTAAGCATTTTGGCCATCACCATCTTGTTTTTTTTGCAACAGAAGTGACACAAGAAGTAAAACAGATGACTGAAAAAAGACATTTGTAGGCGACCAAAATGTTACAATTAACTTTAATAAAGTGAAAACATAGTGTGAAAAGGTTAAAGTTGCAAGACAGAAACACGGACAACTCCCACACCAGACAACTCCATGGTAGCAACCTGTCAATCACTGTGTAGCCCCGCCCCAAAGCATACCCTGCTTTATGGTCTATTTGACTCTAAATGGACCATAATTTACTAAATGAACATCATGCTGTATTGAAGAAGACTTGAAACTAGAGATTGAGACCATAAACTCATGTTTACAATGTTTACTGAGGTAATAAATCAAGAGAGAATTAGAGTCATTTTCTCAGAGACTTCTATACAACCAGAGGAGTCGCCCCCTGATGGTCAGTAGAGAGAATGCAGCTTTAATTAAGGCACATCCGCATTGGCTTCCCTTTTCGGAACTGGAGGTTGCTGTTTGGGCTAATTGAACCAACTGACAAGCTGACATTAGCTTGTTAGCATGAGACCATGTCCACATTACTCCTTTTTTGTTTGGAAACGCATATGTTTTGCTACGTTTACACTGAGCGTCCACACTACGCCGGAGTTTTAGAGCACCGAGGAGTTTGAAAACTCCGAGGTTGCGTCTTCGGGTGGACGGCCGAAACCGGATACATTCAGAAACGATGACGCCCACACCCGCGTTCGCTACTTGATTGGTTCTTAGCAGTCATGACGTCTCCTTCCCTGATTCGTCACACACCTATCACGTGACCCTTACCCGGAAGCTCACAAACAACAACATCGATTACCGATCGACTACCAGGTTAATTCAACATGGACAACTGATTACAGGCGATGCTGACATTGTTGTCTTTATCAGCAGCTGTTGTTCATTTAAAGTCTGCATTTCTGTGAAGGGAACATCTGTTAATGGAACGATTAGCGAGCGGTGTGACCAGCGGTGTTATCAGCCCTACGGAGCGGACGTCTGAAGCCACGGTTAGCAGTAAATGCTCTCCAGTAGGACAGATAGTTAAGCCACCAGCAGAGCTACGAGTGAGAACAGACAACAACGAGGAAACGAGTGAGAGACGTGTGTTGACCACATTTATGGACCCATAATCTAGTAAACGATTACGTGTAAGTGTTGATTTTAAAGTGAATTTGATGTGAGAGAGAGAGATAGAGCAGACCTGCAGCGCTGTAACTAAGTCTGAAAAATAAAACTTCTAAAACTTTCCACGAACTGTGTCTGAGTTTATAGAGGAAGATTTTAGAGAAGATCTTAAGTATCAAACACGACCTTTCATTATTAAAGACTACTTTATTACTCCGTCGTATTTTTTTAAACTAAGCAACCAATCTACTTCCTGTTTACATCGACACATACGCGCATGCCCAGTGTATGTGAAGACTCATGTGATATTCGTTGTCAGGCATTTTAGTCTGGACGAGATCAATTCGAAAACGAAGCTGAAACGCTTTGTGGACGGAGATCGTTTTTGTTTGAAAACTGTATGGATGTAGCCTTTGTCTGACCTCATGAGGATGATAATGAAAAGGTTTCCTTGTTGTCATGGTCTGACCTTTAGCTGATGAGTATATATGATATTACACTAAACTGCTTGAATTAGCCTTTGTCTTTGATTTGTAAATCCCACTCCAGAGACTTTTCTCACATATATTTCATCCAGAGGATCCCATTGGGAATTTATATTTATTATTCAATAAAGCTGCTGTTTGAGGAATACGACTGTTTAATGTTTTCCAAATAACTGAATTCAAACATCTCCCATCATCCTCAAGCTAACACTCAAAAATCATGAGCGCTGTTTACAAACCCCCTGGAGGGTGATTTCATTTGAGTGGTGAAACGACGCCCGCTCCATCAGTCATCCTGCAGCGAGTCCAGGGAGGGGCAGGCAGAACGGTATGGAGCTCCTCATTGCCAAACGCCGGGCCCGGTCGAAAAAGAGAAGCACCCAGATGATTGGGTTTATTAAAAGCTTTCTTGTTCCGTGCCACCGCCCAGTGATTGATCTCCTTTGACGTGTCCTTTTACCCTGTGTCACATTAATAAACGACGTCTCTGCTGAGAGACTGACAGACTGCCTCCTCCTCCGAGAAAGATGAGGGAGAGAAAGAAAGAAAGATGGGAAGAGAACAGAGACAGTGGAGATAGTGAGATGGAAAAGATGCAGACACTCAATTTTTATTATTAAAAGTTAGATTATGGAACAAGTTGATGTTTTGTTGCCCTGAATTCAATACGACAATACCACAGGCAAAGCGTTAACCATATTTAAGCAGCATCTGCTATCGAACAACGAACTCACACGTATAGGCTCCGTGCATGAAGTATAATTAATTTGCCATTGTTAATGTTGTGTAATGAACAATGTCAGTTTAGGGTTATTACCTAATCTCATTGGTCTACTTGTGTTAATGTAAATGTATTCTGCTCCGTGTGAGTCTGTTCGATAGCCGATGCTGCCTAAACGTAGTTAACACTTTGCCTGTCGCATTGAATGAACACGTGCTTTAATAGTGAACGGATGGTCACAGCTTTATTGGCCTAAATCATAATGTCTACTCTGCTCTATAAAAAAATTTCCCTTGAATTTTGTGGATAGGCAGTTTGTGAAAGAGATTTGATTGTAAATTCAAGATGACTGAAGATGAAACAACCTCAAATATAGTTTTGAATACATTATGGAATAACATTTATTGTTATTTATTTGGATCGACCTACATATGTGAACAAACATTCTCCGTGATGGAGTTTAACAAATCCAGATCCTCTCTCACTGACATCACCTGTCAGATGTCCTTCACATCTCACCTCACACATTCAACCTGACTTCAGAGCACTCGTTCACTGAACTAAAAAACTGAAAATGAGATAATTGGACTACAAACAATAGTAATAAAAGTACTAATTAACAGAAAGATGATCCCTGTCAGTGTTGTACTATTATATATGGATATTACATATGTATATTTGTTTGGATCATTATTCCTGCTACAGCTCATTTAACTCCTTTATACACTCTTGTTCAGTTTGGGTAGTTAGGAAGGGTTCGACAAATTATAATGTGCAAAGTAACTAGTAGTAACTAAAGCTGCCAGACAAATGTAGTGGAGTGACAAGTACAATATTTCCCTCTGAGATGTAGTGGAGTGGAAGTAAAAAGTTAAATAAAATGGAAATACTCAGGTAAAGTACCTTGAGCTTGTACTTAAGTACAGTACTTAAGCAAATATACTTAGTTACATTCCACCACTGATCATGATATTTACTCTTACCACTCACAGCTTATCAAATCTATACAATATAATGATTTTAATAAATAGGTGGAATAATATAGAGCAGGATTGAGTTCAGTCTATTGGTCCGGCCCTCCACAACAGTCTCCTGTTTCTCATGTGGCCCTCTGGGAGAAATAATTGCCCACCCCTGGTCTACATAATCAACCATAGACATGCGCATCGGTGCTACTGCGCATGCCCAGCTCATTGCTAAGGAAGAACGGGGGAAATGGCTCTGACAACGTGAGTACCGCGACCAGGCCTTCAGTGTTTTTATTTCATGTAATTGCATCAGATGTTGTTTTCACTTAACTGTGTGCGATGTTTCGGTTACCTTAAATAGTCTACATTGATGTTTTTGGTCTGCCCGTTATTGTTTCCTTGTTTTTATCGAAGCTAATGGCTTCAGCTAATGCTAGCTAGCTAGCTATAATGGTATGTCGTAAGCTACCATTCGCTAACTAGCTAGCTTAACAGCACGCAGCCATGATCAACAACACGGTATTATCAACTGTTTACTAGTGATGTGCTAGCTATGTCCTTCAGTGTGGTTCATAGAATTCGTAACAGTGTGTTGCCTGACTGTTAGCTAGCTGCATTTCCGTTTTAACAGCTAAAGTAAGTTAACGCTAAGTGTAACGTTACCCGGTGCCACTGTTGGCTAACGCAAGCTGGGGTTTAACTTTACATCAGCTTAGCTAACGTTACTGTACACATGATCAAACAAACATTTCTTATTGTGTGTTCAGCTTTTTACCGGCGCCGACCCAGCTGTCTCAGGACCAGCTGGAGGCAGAGGAGAAGCTCCGGGCCCAGAAGTCCTACTCCACCGCCCTGGTGTCGTCCCGCAGGGAGCCCGCTCCCTATGAACACAGAAAAGGCTGGGTGCCTCGCTCACTTGACGTAAATCAGTTTTCAGTATTTACTCATTAAATTGTTGCGATTTTTGGTTTGGTTGGGGTTATTGTGGGGGGGGCCCACATCTGGATAGTCAATTAAATGTGAGGAGCATCTGCCATAGAGCTATGCAAGACCTATCAAAGCTAAGTCTATTGTCCAAGTTCCACTGTAAATGTTTTGTTTCTGTAGGACTTCGGAGATGGAGGAGCTTTCCCGGAGATCCACGTTGCCCAGTTTCCTCTGGAGATGGGTAGGAAGAAGAAGACATCCAATGCCCTGGCTGTACAGGTGGATGCAGAAGGAAAGATCAAATATGACGCCCTCGCCAGACAAGGACAGGGCAAGGATAAGGTATACAGGCAAATGAAAAATGTATCACGGATTCAAGGATCACTTATTGTCTTATTTCCTCCATCTTATTTTCCTGTGAACTAACATCAGACGGCCAGGAGTAGGCTGGGTAATGTAGTAACCTAGGTCCTAGCCGGGTTAGCTTAGCTTCCATCTCGGCTCTCCTCCCTCTCTCCCCTGGGGACATTTGGTGGCGTTTTGTCCGGCCGGTTGGTTGGCTGTGGGCGATGATCGTCTTAAAGTCTGCTGCAGTTATTCCAATCCCCACCCATCCTTTTCCGAGGTGGATGAATGTATTCTGTCATATGCTATTAGTGTTCCAGTAATAACAACAAAGATACAAGATGAAAAAAATGTGCAAAATGTATTGGAGCTACCGGCTGCAGCATGTACATGCGCAGGATGATGTATTTTTGTCAGCTAACTACTGAGGTCAGCATCGCACTGGTTCTCTCGACACAAAGCCAATGTGATCTTTCTATTGGATTTAGGATTATTGTGGAAAGTAAGCTCTGTGGCAAACACAAGTTTATGATACTTGCATGTTTTGTTCAGCAGGATAATCTTCCCTAATGAACACCTTTTAGGATTTTGGAAGTGTAAATGCATTGTAAGAAGGAAAAAGCTACTTTTGGCTATAAACGAACTACACCACTGTCGCTTTAGCGCGAGTACACACAACGAGGCTATAAAGACAGACTTGTCGGCGTGAGGATGTTTTGTAGTCTCATTTAGCCACTTGCTAGCAACTGCCTGTTTTAAAAAAAAAAAAAAAAAAAAACTGGGGATATTTATTGACGTATTTTTATGTCATATTAAAAAACTTTAAAATCTCTTAAGCTTGTTTTAACCACAGACCTTAGTTCAGGCATTTAACCAAAAACCAATCTAAAAAAACTCTTTGACTATACAAGCGAACCAGAAGTGCAAAAATGCAGACTCAATCCTGCAGCACTCAATGCCAGAGTTGCATTCATATTGTTACCTACACTGACACTAGCTTAATACCGATTGTTTTTTTTAAATGTCATTCACAGAATAAACACACTCTGTACCATGATACATTGTTAAAACAATCCATTGCCATGGTGCATGTCATTTTCAGATGCGAGTCTTAGTTTGCTTCATGAGTTAGTTATTTCCAGTCATTTCTTATCTTTCATTGTTGCAGGTGATCTTCAGTAAGTACACTGACCTTCTACCAAAGGAAGTTCTTAATGATGACACTCCAGAACTCCAGAAGCCTGATGAGGAGGCTATAAAAGAGGTAAGCCATGCTGCAATGTGTATTTATGGAAACAACTGAGTTACAAGCAGGTTGCCATGAGATCAAGTTCTTCATGGGACTATATATTTGACTACTCAAAGATCATATAATAATCTTTACATTATTTACCCAGGGAGAGAAATCGGTATTCATTTTGTCCATTGGTCACTGCAAAGATAAAGCTGATGTTACTGTGCGATTTTAAAAATGGTAACATTTAATCAGAAATGGACAGATTTTGACAACCTTTGATTCAGTTACTTTACCGAGTTAAAATGAGGTAAATCTGATAATCAGTCCACACTTAAATGTGGTCGTCATTGTGTGTTCTTTGTAGCTGACTGAGAAGACCCGCAGTGCCCTGGACAAGCAGGTGTCTCAAAAGATTGCTGCTGCCATGCCTGTAAGAGCTGCAGACAAACAAGCTCCTGCCCAGTACATCAGGTATGTATTGAATCAGGGCTGGAGATAAGGTAGCTTAAATCTTTTACTTGCCAGGTAGCCAAACGTACTTGACCGATATTTAAAATGTAAGCCTATTGAAAATAGATCAAATTAACAGGGAGTTTGGTAATTGGACAAAAGAAGGCAACAAGTATGAATTATATCTTACTGAATTGCAGTATAACAGGCTACATGTCTGATTAAATTTCTTCCTTTTTCTCTCCCCAAGATACACCCCGTCCCAGCAAGGAGTGGCTTTTAACTCTGGGGCCAAACAGAGGGTGATCCGCATGGTGGAAATGCAGAAAGATCCGATGGAACCTCCACGTTTCAAGTGAGTAGACATGTGTCCAACACAGTAACTTGAAGCCATATACAAAGACTGCTTTGATAGATTTTCATTGTAAAGGGTAGTTGATGGGGACCGAACTCTCATGTTTCGGTGCAAGCAGAATACATGGTATGTAGACTGGTGCATGTAATGTGGAACCAAAGTTCACAAGCTTTAGCTGTGCTTTAGCTGTACGCCATTAGCAACATATACTGAGGTTAGCACAAAACGTTGATTTGCGTGCGAGTCAGTCTCGCTATGGTGAGCACAAATGAAACGGCTGAGCACGAAGACCAACCTGCGGGTTCCCGATGCTCCACCCTTGTTGGGGTTGTGAATGGAAACGCATTCAACAACATCACCCAGATGTGCTGATCACCGGGCTGATAAATGTTGCAATGCAGCCAAGCCTGAACTAATTAAACACTCCATGTAAATTGTATGTAAGTGTAATTATTTTTTCTGTTTTGGTATTTTCAATCATAGCATTAGAGATCCCTTTCAGTTGTATAGTTTATCTTGACCTGTTGGGAAAGTGTTTGTTCAGTGTTTAAATCGTTTTTATTGAAAATAGTTTACCAAAGTTGCCCATGGGCAAAATGCTACCTCAGTCCCCAGCAAGAGGATTTTGTCTTTGACACTTACAAAAAAATGTAAAGGAAATGTATCTTTATGTTTACCTGCACCGAACCCGTCTTCCTAAACTAGGGTGTAAACCAAACTGACTTCTGTGTACCGTTGCAACCGCAGTATTTCATGGAATTAGTAGAATTATTCAAATGCACACTTATCAGCCATTTTAATTCATAATGTCAATATTACTTTTCTTTATGTTTTTTGTGAAGAGTGCCCATTGGAAGTTTTTAATGTTGTGAATTCATCTATCGGAATTTAGCATCAATTAATCTCCCAAGGAAATCTAAGTGAGGATTAAGTACTAACAAGTCTGATCGGATTCAAAAGTTATATATATATATATTTATTAGTGCTGGGCAACGATTACAATTTTAAATCGCGATTAATCACATGATTTTTTTTGCGATTCATCTCATTGTTATGCGCAAAATTCAATAATGAATTCAAAAGTAGTGTATTGCGCACTTTTATTTTAAAAGTTCTGCTATATGAACAAAAGTGCAATAACATTTGGTTTGTAAACACTTTAAACAAATCAGGTTATTTTTAACAGCAGTATTCTCTTTACACAGTAGCAGTTAAAATACAGTTATAATGATTCTGATAATAGATATTCAGCCGGTGTTCATAACTTTATCTTCATGTGTGTAATGGATGCAATTTGAAATATACACCTTAAACTGCAAACCTATCTAAGTTATGTTTGATAAATTCTCAGTAGCGATAACTAAATGATGCTTATTATACATATTCCAAACAAAACACTTTAAATAATTTAAATGAATCATTGCTTTTTTTAGTCAGACACATATGCAACGCTGATTACCGTAATATGTGTGGTATTTGTTATAAATGTAAGTCGGTACATAGAGGGTGAGAAGAAGCTGTACATGGAGGGACTTAGGACCCAGGGGAATGTAGGTGAAGGAAACAGGAAGAGACGGAAAAGACACCACACAAACAGCTCTTCACCGGTCTGCCGGCCGGTTCTTGTGTTAAAAATGTCCGCTTAATAATAATAAAAACTGCGTTAATGTGCGATAAAATAATTGTCGGCATTAATTAATTAATGCCTTAACGATCTTTTTGACTGTCGGTCTCACAAAAATGCTGAAGAAATATTACAATTGTATGTTTCAGGATCAACAAGAAGATTCCTCGTGGACCCCCTTCTCCCCCCGCCCCTGTCATGCATTCCCCAAGCAGAAAGGTACAGTTGGATGAATCATTGTGCTTTTCAGTACCTTCATGCAATATATTGAAACATCTAAATGAATTAGCTTGAATTGTCCTAAAGCTGTTTTGTTTGACGGCTCCTCTCCCTTTGTTGTAGATGACCGTCAAGGAGCAGCAGGAATGGAAGATTCCTCCATGCATCTCCAACTGGAAAAACGCCAAGGTAATGTGACACCACAATGAGTTTGGACTTCATTTTTAGTATCTCCAAATGTCAAACACATTGTGAGTAGGTCATGCAGGCATGTGATTTGTTTTCCAGGCTTATTGTTTAATGTTACATTGCATAACTGTCTTTAGGGCTCGTGGTTTTGACATAGTTTCATTGCCCTGCTACCTCTTTTCCTCTCTGTTCATTTCTTTGTGTGCTTAATATCTTTCAGGGCTACACCATTCCTCTCGACAAACGTCTGGCTGCTGATGGTAGGGGGCTGCAAACCGTTCACATCAATGAAAACTTTGCCAAGCTGGCCGAGGCGCTCTACATCGCCGATAGAAAGGTACTCACCATTGTCCCTGATCAATATGTGCTTCAGAATTATTGCAGTGCCTTTTTACCCATATTGGAATTGCATATTAAAATGCTGATTGTTTCCATAGGCCAGAGAGGCAGTAGAGATGAGAGCACAGGTAGAGAAGAAGATGGCCCAGAAGGAGAAAGAAAAGAAGGAGGAGAAACTGAGGGAACTGGCCCAAATGGCCAGAGACCGCAGGGCGGGGATCAAAAGTCATGGGGACAAAGGTGGTGAGTCAAGATAATGAACAAAAATGTCCTTTTGTCTCTTTCTTGTTTTTTGAAGAATGTGTGTGGTTTTCTGAGCGAGTGGAGCAGACTCTGTTGCCAAGTTCCAAATCTGTAACACGAGTGTCGTAAGTGATGACATTTTCCGCCCCGCCAGTGTTGAGAGGACCAGTAAGCTGTGAAATGTTTCTGCTTCCCTGCTGATAATTCACATGGATTTTGAGAAGAGAAATCAGTGTTGCATGTCCTGTTTTAGCGCATGCTTTTTGAATGACCATGTGGATAAATCATATCCCATTGAATCAAAATGCAAAGTCTGTGTGTCCAATTTTGTTATGAATGCCAATGTCTGTCAGCTGTGTTTAGTTTTGCAAGTTTACTGACAAGTTTCTCTTCACCTCATGTTCCCTCTCCTGCTGTGTATCAACCCCCTGCCTCGCATTCCTTCCATTTCTTCCACTGTCCCTAACATCCCCTCCAACCTGTCTTCTCATTTCTCTCACTCTTTCTTTTCACCTCTGCTTTTCTATGTACCATTTCACATCATCTGTTTCCCAATCCTCTCATGTGGTTTAATTTCATAAAAAAATCCTTATTGTTTCTTTGCACCCCCTTCTCCCTCTTTCCATCCGTCTGTCTCACGTAGCAGGTGGCGAGGACAGCGAGGTCAGGGAGCGTGACGAGATCCGCCATGACAGAAGGAAAGAGAGACAGCACGACAGGAACATTTCCAGGGCTGCTCCTGATAAGAGGTGCTGGACACGCACTTTAAACATACCGCATGTGAACTCACTCCTCTCCGTACACACACACGGCTACACAGATCCACTGCTGAATCATTCATGGGGCCAGCAGTAACACTGAACAGACGCAGCAGGATCCAGCAGAGGCGTGTGCTGTGCGTGTGCGCGCACTGTCAGGTTCCAAATGATAGAATTGTGTGTCCCTGGAGGAGTGGAGGAAGTGAAATTCAGAGGAGAGCTCATTACAATCACAATTCCAGCCGTCAGAAAGCAGAAACTTTGTTATTTCAAAATTAACTTTAACTTGACTTTGAGATGTCGTTTGCTGAAGGAGAGTCGAGATGTTAGAGTCACCAAGAGCATACAGATACATTTGTAAATATCTTATTATACTACATGTTAATTGCTGTAGAAAATAAATATTATTAATAGAACTACGTTCTAGGTTTCCATTACTTTCCTGTTTTTATGTCATTCTTGTCTGTGTGTCAGTAGTCTAAGTTTCCGGCCTTGTTCTCTGTCCCAGGTCGAAGCTGCAGAGAGACCAGGACAGGGACATTAGCGAGCTCATCGCTCTGGGCGTTCCCAACCCTCGTTCTGCCAGTGAGGCCCAGTACGACCAGCGGCTCTTCAATCAGAGCAAGGTTAGAATACAACATCCATCACTATAGACCTGAATGATTTGTGTTCACTGGACAAAAATGTGAACATGTACAAGAGTGAATACCAAGCTCTGCAACACAAAGAAGCATTACCTAAATAGAGAGTTAAGGCCCTGTCTGTTCCAGTCTAACAAAAAAGGGTTTCACTGAGTTTCACCTCCAGCAGTGGCAGTAGTTTGTGTTTTGCTGGATAGGGATTGATGTCCTCAGTCGCAGGACAAACTTGATAGACTGTGCTTTCACAATATTTAAGTGAGCAATTTGATAACCAAGTACAAGGAAGACGCGCATCATAATGTTCTTGGGTTCTCTCCTTAATAGGTTTAACTAATACCTTGTTGTGCACTGGCATCTCTTTCTAAAAGTCTCTCTTGCTCTCTCCCAGGGAATGGATAGTGGTTTTGCCGGTGGTGAGGATGAGACCTACAACGTGTACGACCAGCCGTTCCGCGGCAGCAGAGACATGGCCTCTAACATCTACCGGCCCAGCAAGAATATAGACAAGGACGCCTACACAGATGACTTTGACACACTCATGCACAACAACAGGTACTTTCCATTAAATCTTCAATCACATATTATACATTTATTCTGACTGATTTAGATTTTTAGTATTTACATTATCAGAATCAAAGATACTTCATTGATCCTCAGGGAAAATTGGTTCCTTTACAGTCGTTCAATTTTAGAATAATTCTAAGAAAAATGTGAATATTTATACATAACAATAAAATAAATATGGAAATATGAGAAGACATGTACAACAATAGTGTAAATGATATTAATGCTGAAAAACAGGATCTATGATGATAATGCAGAAATAGTATGAATATGAGTATCCGTTAGTGCTGGGCGGTATACCGGTTCAAGCGGTATACCGGCTTTAATTTCCCGTATGATATGAATTTTTCACACATCGTCACAGCCGAAACAACTGCTGTAACTTTTCAACAGGCAGCTAAATATAATGCTCGCCGCTAAGAAGGCTGCGGTCGGAGCTAGTTGTCTTAACTGTATTGAGAGGGACCTCTAATCATGGTTATAACCGCCAGAATCTTAAAAAATACCGTGATACACATTTTTGGTCATACCGCCCAGCACTAGTATTAGTACAGTATAAAACAATAGTAATTCCAGATTAGTTGGTTATATAGATATGAGAACCAATCTACCACTACTGATCAGAGAGACTACTTATGTGAATCACTGGTGTATGAATAAGCACTAAAGAGTATATCATTCAGAAATGTGCAATAAAGAGTTTGTGCTCCTATTGTATTTCATTTTTAGAGACCTTGTGCATTCTTGCATATTAATGGAGTGAATGTGATGTGAACCTTTTCAGATTTTTTCAGATATAGTGTTAATAAGTGTAATGTGTATTTAAGCACATCCGAAGGTTAATAACTTAACAGTTTAAAATTAAGTTCCCATAGCACATAATGGATAATCTGAATAGTTCGAGTACCTTGACGCATGATGCATGCAGTAAGGAAAATGTTTATCTTAGACTAGGACGGTTATACTTATCAGGCTCTGAACAAAACAGCTGAAGTTTGAACCTTCTCAAGTATAATTGCACGAAATAACAATAAAAGCCTGAATCAATTTAAGGTCATTCTGGCTTCCTTTTTGAAGCACGAGGCAAGCAGACGCATGACGTCCCAGCAGGAGCCCTGGTCCTTAGGGCAGCAGTGCCACACTCTACTAGCCGAGCAGAGCCTGGCCCATATGTTTGGTCCCCAGCTTGTCGGTATCCTCTAGGAATGTTTGGCTGGCTGCAAAACATGGAACATCTTTGACTTAAGCAAATTCCCTGAAACATATGTTCCATGGAGGAGTGCGATATTTCTTTATCCTTTTATCTTTATTTCTTCTCTCAGACAATTTGATTGAACAAGAAGGAACTTGCTAGCAATTAGCTTGTAGTTTCAAAACGGTGCCCTCTTTCCTGCTTTGAGGACAACTAAAGGACAAAAAACAAGCAACGGCAACCAATAAGATTGTCAGCAAGCACAGTGTAATGGCAACTCCGGGAGAGAAACTCTAAATTTGTTGCACACTGTAATTGTTTCCTTTTTACTGTCAGGTTTGTTCCAGACAAAGAGTTCTCAGGTGCTGACCACGGGCAGAGGCGGGATGGGCCAGTCCAGTTTGAGGAGGATCCCTTCGGTCTGGACAAGTTCTTGGAGGAGGCCAAGCAGCATGGCGGCTCCAAGAGACCGTCCACCAGCAGCCGCTCAAAGGACGACTACCACGACAAGAAACGCAGGAAGGAGTGAGAGTCCATGGATGGCAGCTGCTAGCATATTGGTCTGCTCCCTCTCAAGGGCTGTGAGTCTCTATCAGGAATGATTTCAGTGTGTGAGAAGGAAAGGATTTATGCTTAATATGACCTGATTAAATGCATTACATATAGCTGAAGTGATAGCTGTTGTGTGTGTGCGTGTAAGATCATCCTCTGCTTCTGAAAACATCTGTGTCCAGCAAAGTCATTTCAGATGTGCCCTGGAAATGTGTAGATTTGAGTTAAAACAATTTTTTAAAACGATAATGCAGAGTAAACCCAACAGAAACTCAATAGGACCTCTTCATATTCACGTTTTTTTTCCTCATTTATCCCCACATTCCCCATTGAGTTTCTGTCTCCTGTTTTATTTAAACCTCCGGTGTATTGGTGAGCCCAGTTAAAGCTCCTATTGGAGGCTAGATATGTACAGCAGTATAAAGTTCTCTGTAAGATCTGATGCAAACCGGCTTAATCATTCTTGTACATTACTACCAATGGAATAAATTTGGAATAAAATGTTTATTATTGAGTAAACAATTTTGTATGGTATTTACAAATTTTGAAATGACTCTTGATGTTTTCTCCCTGTCATTTTTCTCAGTCCAGTTCAGAGCTGCTTAATCTCAACCTTTACAGCAGAGTGGGAGTTAGTTATTTATTAGTTGTGTAATTACTCTAGTTTTCTCGTAGTAGATTTTTCCTTATTTTAATCACTTCCTGACTAATGCATTCCATTTACATAGATGATTAAATGCCTAAAATGTATTTAGTGACGCCATCTATTACAAAGTGTGAGTCGGGACATTTTTACCAGAAATGGGCTCTGCGATTTATGCAATGATTAGAACAAAACTGGTTCCATTAATTACAATTAATTATGATTCATGCAGTCTGACAGTTTTATTTTCCCGGGCTCCGTAAAATAATCAGCGGGGCATTACACAGCTCAGCAAACTCCCCAATCTCTGCATAGTGCCAATTTTCACTCGTGCCTGAATAGGGCTCAGACAGTTGTTATATGCACATGATTTATGTTTTCTTCAATAGGCAGTGTTATGGATTCCATTATTGCAGTGTTCTGGACTTGCATGTTATGTTTTATTGCTGGTCTTGTTCCAGCATCACAGATTATAGCCTTAGAACTGAGAAAATAATACAAATGACCAGGAAGAATCCAAGCTAAATGAAAGGGAATTCTGTGGATATCCAAAAAACCCACTCGTTGTAAAATGCTCTGGATGTACTGAAGTTGGTTATGTTCATTACAATGTGCTAACTTAAAGCCACCTTGTTTGAAGAATCATAAGATTCCAATGAAGAGTTTAGTGGCAATCAACTACATTTCTATCCTGCTAAACATTTTGTCTGAGTAGAGGCCGTGAAATAATCATGAATCATTTTTTTATTTGGCTATTGTCTCAGTCACATCGTTTGCTTAATTTTAAAGCTAAAATAATCTAATTTTCAGTTCTTGTTGATTTGACCACACTAGTGGTTACTGGTGGTTAAACACGGTCTTAATGGTACAAGTCCCTTCATTTGAAAGGATGTTTCTATCAAACTGTCGGCAGAAGTCAAGCATTCTTGTACTGTTTAAAATGATGCAAAGATGGCCTCAATCGCCATTTGAACACCATTCAAATCCATTGTGGGAAGAACTAATATATAGAGAGATGACTAATAATTTACCATTGACCTATGCTCATGTGAAGAGGAGCTGACGCGCTCAAAAGTCCTTCAATTCCATAGCAGCAGTGGTTTGGCCTGGTCTCCCCTCTGCACCTGAGGAAACCGCGTGAACACTGCAGCATGACTCCGTGTAGGAGCGGGGCTCTGATGTCCTGTAGCAGGTCGACTAGTTGATCTGTTTTTCATACCTACTCAGAGGTCCTCTGACTCTGCTTGGACATACCTTTTTCTTTTACGCATTCATCTATTATCTGTAGAGTCCTGACTCTTATCATTTACATTTAAATGCTTGCTATGTTATCAGCTTTGTAACAATGATGTGAAAGGGAAAGTGATCCAGCGTGTATGTCCTACCCTTATGCACGAACACATGTGGAATGGACTGATGGAAAGTTGCCACCAGTGGGATGTGGTTTAAGGACAGCAGGGGTTTATTGTGAGTGCTAGTGTGAAGAAATTCATCCGACATGTGAAAGCTTAGCGTAACCGACTCATGAGGGCAATAAAATGACTGTTGTATGTGGTTTGGTAGGCACATGGATAAAGTCCTTGTAATAGACAAAATTAAAAAAAATACAAAAGTCAACAATGAATTCAATTGTTTAAATCCAGATCACTTCCTATCTCGACACAACAGAAGAGATGTGCTCCCCTCAGCCTGTAGTGCTGAGGACAGCTTCATAATGGGTCTCCTCTCAGCTCTTGTCTGCCTTTATGAATGTGCACAGAGGAAGATGAATGAGATTGTTATTCGTGAAGGTAAGAGGAAATTGGTTCCTTGGCATTGCTTTTGTGTGCTGGTGGATGTAAACGGTGAGCATATTGTGTTGGGCTACAATGGAATCCTCAGGTCGCAGACAGTGGCCATGATGGATAGCTTCTTATCTTTGCTCCACAAGGTAACAAACCCCGAAATAATAAACAATATTGAGTTGTTGCTGACTTGAGTATAGCTTGGTTGGTTTTGTGATGCCATTTGTGATATTTCGGCCTCCTTCCTCCCTTCAATGGCAGCAAAGCAATACGTTTGGTGATAAATGTCCCCAATGCTGCAGTTGACCTGTTGAAGGCGGGAGCCAGAGAGAAAGCTTATCTCGCTCTTTTCTTCCAGTATTAAAGGCTGCTGCTGAACCAGAGGCTGCATTTGTGTTTTGTTGAAGAAGCACATCCATGGAAAACAATGGTTCTCCTCTCTGCCAATGACTATTTTTCCTCCACATGGCCAGATGAGTCATTTTAGGAGTAAAGAGACTGAATCAGAAGGGTAAGCTTTACTCCATATGCTGAAACATTTAGGCACAGCTAACCCCACCCCAAATAATGATGTGACGGCAGGCGTGTTCCATAAGCTCTCACAGGCAACGTTTCTGTTATGACATCACTAATTGGGGTGTGGCCTTTTTCCTTATAAAAGTAGTGTAAGCTTGACTTAAAGCTGAACTAATCAAATGTGTTGTGGGAAAGGATCAAATGACTACACGTAGTGCGGAAGGGATCACTCTTGGTGACGAACCCACAGAATGACCCCCCACTGTGCAGCTTCCCTCAGCTCTACTAGCATTTCAGCATCTTTTAGCCTAGTGTTTTGCTTTTACGGCACACAACTGTATTGTTCTGGTTCAGACTTACTGCGCTAATGGCCCTTTTTCCAGTCGCAGCAAAGCAAAAGTCTCACCCACTATATCTAAACATAGCACAAAAAGTAAGGAAATTAGTGTTTGGTCGATTATTTCTTTGTTGTAACAATGCTTGTTGGCAAAAAATCTTATACCGTTGGAAAGCCTGTTTATTTCCCTTTTAAATGGGGCCACATTTGTAAGGAACATGTATTTGTGGGATAAGCCCATGAAAAATGTCCCAAATCTTCTCTGCCAATGCCAACAGAACGGTTTATCAGAGACGACCTCCAGAATGTGGGAGTGGAGAGGATGGAATGGCCTGCCAGCAGTACAGACCTCAACCCAATTAAACACTTGTGGGATTAGCTTGGGCGTGCTGTTCGTGCCAGAGTGACCAACACAACCACGTTGGCTGACTTGCGACAAACCCTGCTTGAGGAGTGGAATGCCATCCCACAGCAGTGTGTGAGCAGGCTGGTGACCAGCATGAGGAGGAGCCAGGCTGTTGTGGCTGTGTATGGTTCTTCCACACGCTACTGAGGCTCCTGTTTGTTAAATGAATAAATTGTTAAATTGCCAATATGTCTTGTTTCTTCAGACTTCAATCATCCAATCCACCAAACAACACCAAACAAGAGTCAACAGCAGAATAAGCTGTTTGCATTGGCAGAGAAGATTTGGCAAATTTTGAATGCGCGCAACCCACATACTCTGCTGTGCTGCTCATCCCACAAATGCATGTTCCTTACACATCTGGCACTAAAAGGAGAGTGAATATCGACATTCTTCAGGAGACCAGAAATGGCAATAAATAAATGCTGATGTTGCTCCATGTGATCTAGATACAGGCAGCTGTTTGCTGACATGTAACTCTATGAGGTGATAATATGTCAGTGTTATGTTTAGCTTGTTTTATTGCCCTCAAGAATAGAGAATGAATGCTGCTTTTACATGCATTATGTAAAACATTCATAAGGTCTAGAATGATGTATATGTAAATGCATATATATATGAACATGGCTGACAGCTGTGTCGGATTCTACTGAAAACAATTCTTGTTATTATTATTATTCTTGTCATATGACAATCTGCAGATTCCCTTCAGGCCTGGGTATAACTATGCAGTTATTATCTAATTCATATTGTGAATGTATAGTGTGAATACAGTGTACAAAGCCACCGAGTCTGTAAATGGAATCTGTCAAACTGACATTCACCATTAGCAGAACACATCTGAGCAACCTGTCTCTCCTCTGTCACTCACTTTCTTATCATTAGTTCCTCTTCTGCACATATTTATGTCTGAATTCACTCATCATTATACCTGCTGTCTAGAGTGGGACAGAGTCCACTGCTCACTGGAAAGTGGTCTGCCTGTCACTGTCCGTCCTGTCTGCCTTCTGTGATTCCTAGAGAGCAGATTCTGTCCTCTCGTCAGAGGCGCCCTCTGTGGATCATTTATTATATTGGAGAGATTTAGACAGGCGTAACCATCTCCAATGGTCGTGTCAGTCAGAAGGCAGCCTACCTGCTGCACAGTTGCGGCAGGGCCCTCCCAACCGTGGTGGGAGGGCCCTGCCGCCCAAGAGTGCACTTGAACCGCTCTGGGATTTGCTATGACAGAAATTGATTGACACCTCAGCCAATGTCTTCATCTGAGGAAAGAGCTGGGCTACACGGACTGTGGTTGGAGTCGAACCCTGGTGGTAGACTTGTATATGTTGCTCATATGTTGATGATGCAAAAAAGTAGCATCTAGTCTTTCTCCACACTGCACTAGTTGCATTTATCCCCCTATTTAAGTTGCCATTTGCAATGTCAAAAGCAGTGCTCTGGTTGACACTTAGTCTTTGGTTGTTAGAAACGTTGATTGCAGGAAATATCAGTCAGCACTAGAATGGCTCATTGATTGGGATGTGACTTGCACTCACTCTGTTTGTGCATGAGTATAATTCCTAGCAATAAGTCGGCTCGTTTATACTCCTTTATATAGTTATTATTGTGATTTCATCATTTGTTATCTACCACATTTAGACTTCCTCTTTGGCAGTGTTAGGTCTTAATAGGCTGCCGGGTAAGAGGAGTAGAGATTGATCCTCCTGATGATTTCATTAAAGCAGGGAAATTGCAACAGAGAGCAGAAATACATCTTCAGTGAATAGCAAATAATCTGTCATTTGAATGATACTGTAAGAACATCAGCAGTGACGTGTAACCTTGTCAGTG